TGAGGCCTTGGGTTTGATCATCAGCAACACACACACACACACACACAAATAATCCAATTTAAAAATGGATAAAAGATTCAGATATTTCACTAAGGAAGAGGTAAAGATACAGATGGCAAATAAAACAAAAAGATGCTTAATTGTATTAGTCACTAGAGAAATAGAATCAAAATCACATTTAGCATCTCTAAAACCTAAAAAACTAACCATAGCATATGAAATATTGGATAAGATATGGAGATTTCCAACCCACTAAAATTAAAACCAATTGGCAGTATTCTTCCCTTTCCTTTCTTCCTGCCAAGGATTGAACCCAGGGGTGCTTAACAAAATAAAACTACAGTGGTTTTTATTTTGAGACAGGGTCTTGCTAAGTTGCTTAGGACTTCACTAAGTTGTTGAGATTAACCCCAAACTTGCAATCCTCCTGCCTCATCCTCCTGAATCACTGGGCTTACAGGTGTGCACCACTGTACCTGGCTAGTTGGAAGTTTCTTAAAAAGTTAGATAAATACCTATTATATGATCCAGTCATTACACCAGGTATTTATGTGAGAGAAATGAAAGCATAAGTACATATAAAAACTTGTACACAAATATTCACAGCAACTTTAAATGAATTATGGTATAGTTATACAATGTAATACAACTTTTTTTTGCAGTGAAATGAATGAACTATTTATACACTCTACAATGTAGATGAGTCACAAAATAACTTCACTAAGTGAGAAAATCTAGACCAAAAAGGCTTCATACTACAATTTCAAGAGGTATCAAAAAACTTTAGGGGATGGTGGATATGTTCATTATCCTTTTTGGGGGGTGGGGTACCAGGGATTGAACTCAGGGGCACTCAACCACTGAGTGACAACCCCAGTCACATTTTACATTTTATTTAAAGACAGGGACTCACTGAGTTGCTTAGCACCTTGATAAGTTGCTGAAGCTGGCTTTGAATTCAAGATCTTCTTGCCTCAGCCTCCTGAGCCACTGGGATTATATGTGTGCCACTATGCCCAACCTATGTTCATTATGATTGATTATGGTGATCAATTCACAGCTGTAAACATATGAAAACTTAACAAGTTATGTATTTTAAATATATACAATTTGTTGTTATTAATTATACTGTAATAAATATATTTAAGAATAAAATCCCACCTGCAACATGATTTCTATTCTGTCCTCTGGTTTTATTACTCTTATAACTAGGTTTTCCATATTAACCGCACACAATTTCCTTGCTTTTCTTTGGAGTCCCTTTAACATCCATTAACAAGTTGAGTTTTTTCTTAAATTACAATTTTATTTCTAAAAGTTTTAAGGATTTGATCAGCAGTGAAAACTTGTACTGTATAACAACGGAATTGACAGCTAACATGTATCTGGTAGAAGTATACTAAGGCTTTGGGTTTATAGTTAAGTTGAGTTACAGCTGTTCAGATATCAAAACAGTATACCATTTAAGATGTCTGAAGCCTAAACTAGCTGCCATATGGGCAAGAGCCAATTCAGTTTCTCTCTGGAGAGATTAAGATTTTCTATGTTATAGGAAAGGTAGCAGAATACAACAGTTACTAATAGGGCATTATGTAAAAATGTGGATGTGTAACCGATGTGATTCTGCAATCTGTATTTGGGGTAAAACTGGGAGTTCATAACCAACTTGAATCTATTGTATGAAATATGATATGTCAATAGCTTTATAATGTTTTGAACAACCAATAAAAAAATAAATTAAAAAAAAAAAGATTTTCTATGTTCCTGAAAAACAGGAAAGGAGTGGAATAAAGGGGGTGGGGAGCAAAGGGAGGATAATTAATGATCCCTTCGCTAAAAATCATATAATTCTATTATCTTTTGCAATGCACAAAGCTGTATGTATTTTGGCACCATGATTTCAATGGTAGAGGTATCACACCATGTTATGCAAATCATTTTAAAATGTTGATGCCTGGCTAACAGATCACTAAATGCATGTATACCCCCAAATGTAAATAGAAGGTATTGGTAGTTATGCTTAAAAACTTTTAGGTTCCAAACCATACATAAATCTCTAGCCAAAATTCTCAGGTATTAAAGTGTTCACTCAGCATCTTATTTAAGATGAAAAAAACTACCATAAAAATGCATATTAAAAAAAACAATAACAAGTGTAAGAAAAACATCAAGGGACTTTTTTAATGAAAAAATTACATTATAACAAGGACATTATACATCGTTACAATATATACACACACATTTTAACCTCTTTTAAAACCAGGCACAAAGTAAACAACATCTTTTTCATACCCACATGATTAAGTATATATTTTTGACAGGATATAAAGAAGATGAAACACAAGCTGGTGGGCCTCAAAATTAGAAACTCTAATAATTCAGAACTGGATCCCCAAAACCTGTCTTCCATCAGTTTTGTGACTTGTAGGAAAATATTGACTTGCATAAGATGTTTAAACTGTTCCTTTTAATTATACTAATTGCTTACACAGAAAATTGCTATTGAGGGAAACATCTATCATGGTTGTATTTATCTATAATTCATTGGAGTATATATAAAGTTCAGTTGGAGGCTTGGAACATGAAAACTACAATGAAGAAACAAGTGAGCTGTAACTGAAATTCTAACTGCTTAATTTGAATGTCTGACTCCTTACACAGATATTACACCTTGAAAAATATGACTGGAAAGAACATATATCAAACTTTGCTGTAGAGCTGTTAGGAGAATGCCAAATACAAATAATGAAAAATTTTACACATTTGTACTTAATACCCTGTGAATTAAAAAATAATTAGACATTTAAAATATGTAAACTGTTTTCAAAACGTGATGCTAAGCACCTTTGAACAAAATACTGACATGTTGTGGCTAATCATGCATTTAGAGGATAAATGAATTTTTAAAATCTCCCAGAAATGATTTTTAAAGAGCTACTCATTAAAGTACTTACATGAAAATACTCATAGTTCCAGTTTCTACCTAAAACCCAAAAGAGTATACAATAAGGAATTTAAACATTTCTTCACTCTCTTAGTTTTTATAGGTTGTTTTGTTTTTTGTTTGTCAGAAGGATGCACTGTAACTTTCTGTTCTCATAAAAAACATTATCAGAAGAGATAATCACACAGAATGAAGTAAGAGAAATATATTTTAACTATGTTTTGTTCTTGATCAAGGACCAAAGTTGGAATCCTCTGACATCTCTCTCATCCTCACAGGTAACTGATCAGAGTTTGTGTCTTAACACGCATTTCTCCTTAGCAACTCAACATCAAAAAAGAAAGGAATGTCTCCAAAAGAATACAATATAGTTTAAAGGGTGAAATATTAAATAATACACATTTATCATTATTGAAAGATAAAGATATATTATTTAAAATCTTGAAAAAGTTTCCATAAAAAGTAGAAATAACAAACAAAAACAGTATTACCTACTGTGCAACTCTAAACTGTAAATAAATTCAAACTTATTCCTTTTAAATACACATACACTAACAGAAATGTGGGTTTGAGGTAACTAAGAATTGTTTAACTCTGCATAATAGAATCAAATTTAGCAGCCTACTTCTACAAATGCTGACAAATATTTTCATTTCTTAAGAAAAAGAAAAGCAATTCTTACTAAAATTGTACATATAACTAAATATTACTTTGCATTAAATAGGATATAAATAATAAAATTTATATTGAATAGGATATAAATCTAAAAAGTAAGCAATTTTAGAATTCCACTTATTTCTAAAATATCAGTGCTTTACATTTAGATACATGTCATGTACCTCAAACGAAGTAAATCAAGAATGAGAGACTGGACTTAGAAAAGCCAAAAGTGACTTATAATCAAGTAAAGTATTAAGGTTAACTTTCATATTATACTCTGCATGCTTTGAATATGAAACATTAATATCTACTTGAAATTCTTATGTTTTTAAAAAATAAAATTATGCCTACATATGGTCTTTGGAAAAACAAGCCTTTGGAGGTTGATATCTTTTTTTTTTTTTTTTTTTTGGTATCAGGAATTGAACACAGGGGCACTTAACTACTGAGCCAAATCGCTAGTCCTTTTTAAAATTTGTAATTTTGAGACCGGTTCTCAGTTGCTTAGGGCCTTGCTAACTTGCTGAGGCTAGGTAGCTTCAAACTTGCAATCCTCCTGCCTCAGCCGCCCAAGTTGCTGGGATTACAGGCATGTGCCAACATGCCTGACTAGAGATTATTTCTTGACAGCTATGGGTGATGTTTCTATTTTGCCAATCTTTCAGAAAACAGTTGCTTATAATGAATATACTGATTAGTACTTATTTGGTATTTGAAGTAAATATACTTAACAAATACACCAGATCAGATATTTTAAAGTTTTAAATATGAACTAAATTTTAAACTATAAATACTTGTCCTGAAATACTTTGAATTCTAATACTATTGATTCAGTAAGAACTCCAGCATTAGAACAATCTAAATATTACTTAAATTCTTTTCTAATCTAAACTGAATCTTCAAACTAAAGGGGAAAAAAAACAAAAACAAAAACAAAACCTCTACTAACAACAAAAAGTTTCTCAAATTATTTTTAAACCCCAAGAAGTTCTATTATTATTTCCAAATTCTCTCAATTTCTTCATCTTTCTACCCATTAATACTGTTTTACCTGCAGCATAGTATAAGTTTATGCAACATATACTGATTTCTGTTGTTTATCTGATTAATTCTAGTTAAAATTCTCAGTACTTACCAAGTCATTTAAATTTCTATTAGATGACCATTAATATGCTATTGGTTTGTAGTTAAAAATACAAAATTAAAAGGGAAGAGGCTAAAATGTAACTGTAGGGTTTTCACAGACTTGATTGCTGGGTTTTGTGTTATTATATAAAATCTATTGCTTTATCTTTCCAAATAATACAGACTACAAATATTCTCTCACCTGTCTGTTAATTAAATTTCTTTACAACTTTAAAATTCGTAACATAAACATACACTCATTTATTATTTTTGTTATTCTTTTTTGTGTTACATGAACCAAACTGGATATTTCCAGAAATGTTAGATAAGTGTTCATGTTTGGACTAAATTACTATGGGTAAATTCAAACAATCTTTTGAAATACCGACTTATTAGATAACCAAAAAGCATAACAATTACACAAAATAAGAAGGGCAAAATATTTCTTAATACAGGTTAAAATATGAACTTGGCAACAAAAATACCAGTTTTAAATCAAAGCTGCTCATCAGTCTTCAGTCCAGTTATCACAATGCTGTGCTTTAATAATATTCACCTTCTTTTCTAAAACATCAGAAGTCACCAGAGTTGTAAATTCTGAAAAGCTTCAATAATTTATGTAGCAGATAATTTCTTACAGTCCAATTTTTTTTGCTTCCAAGGACAATGTTGGTTCTTTGGGTTCTTGTTTAACTTGGTTCATAGAAATAGTACCTTCTGGGTTTTCTTCAACTTTAAAACCAAACATAAAAGAAAAATCCAAAGGGTTAATATACTTTGACACTGGAATCTTTAGAATTATATGAATTAGAAGAAAAGCAAAAAGCTACAACAGTTTGGAAAAAGAACCAAGCTGCAATTCAGAAAAAATAGTATATTTGAAAACTCAGTGCCACATCTTGGATGATAGCTCTGATTTAGGTGTGTGAACTATATGTTTATCTGAAACATTTCAGAATCCATTTACCATTCTGATTTGAAAGCACTTATAACCAAGTTAATCTAACGGTAGCATACAAACAGCACTACTGATAAGTGTTGATGGAATGTCTAACATCAAATTTTCTTCTCTCTTTCTCAAGAATATTGGTTTTTCAGTTGCTATTAGGTAACATGTTAAGGGGACCATATTTTCTCATAGAAGCATGCTCAACATATCTAATTTTTGTCTGCACATGCAGGTGTATAAGAGTTTAGCCAGAGACACAGAGAACTAGCATAGGATGAATTTGAGTGACTCTAAGAACTCATATCTAGGTGATATAGTCCCTCAAGATTGTTATCTAACTTGATAAATCATGCAAATTTGGCTCCAAACAGGGTCTTCTTTAAAACAATCTAGATCAGTACTCCCAGAAATATTGTGGCACAACACAGAGGAAGGAAACATTTGAATGGAAGAAAGCTTTGAAAGGCAAGACTGATCTGGGTTCAAATCCTTGCTCTGTCACTTACTAGATGTGCACTTTAGGCAATTACTTCACTTACCTGAGCACTCATCTGTATAATTCTTCTCATGAAGAATTCACATATATTTCTTTTTCTTCACATTTACTTAAGTTACTCAGCAGTTATAACTGCCACAGCCCTCTGGATAAATTTTCTTTAAAAGTAATGCTTTCAACAAATCTAAAAGATAATGACTTTTTCTGAAAGGAACTATGTCACTGTTTTCTTTACCCAGAAGAATAAGAATTGAGATGGAGGGAAAATACATGTTCTAAGAATAACTTCTGTGAAGATTTTTGCTCTTCAAAGTAAACTGCAAGTCTTTGACCACAAAAGTGACTGGTCCAGAACAATTTGTATGAAGTGAAGTGACACAGGTCAAGTAGAAGTTAAAAGAGTTTACTACTGGGTTGGGGTTGTGGCTCAGTGGCAAAGTGCTTGCCTAGCATGTGTGAGGCACTGGGTTCGATTCTCAGCACCACATATAAATAAATGAATAAAATAAAGATTCATCAACATCTAAAAAAATATTTTAAAAAATCAACTTGGTTAGTAATAAAGTGAAGATAACAAGGTCCTGGACTAAACCAAGTGCCCAAGTTTTATTAGTTCCCTTTCACCTTCCATAGAACTCAGAACATGTAACTTTATAACTCAAAATTTTCATTTTACCCTTTGTATCTGTCCACTTCATTTTATTTTTACTTGTGTATACATATATCATTTTTTGCACTAAAACAGTTTTCCATATTTTATGTTTTTATCAATTTTTTAAAGCATTCTAGAACAATCTTTTGATTTCACATCAAGAGATTTTTTTTTTCCCATGGAAAAAAAGTTAATTAGGGAACAATAACTTCAAAGGGATTAAATAACTAGAAATAAGGAGAAATATGAAGTTGTAAGTTTAAAAGCTCTTAAACTCATGCTAATGAAATATCCCCCTTCTCTCTCATAATTTTACTTCAGTTATATAATATTATAGACCTGGTGGGTAGAAATGATAGTATTTTTTTTTCTGTAGTGTGATATAATAATGGTAGTTCATAAAGATTAAAAAAAAGTTACATCATAAGTTGATTTTAACTTACTAAGAGCTGGGTGGTTATCTATAATCCGTATTGGAATGGTCTGCACATCTCGCAAGAGAATCCTTTGGATACTTCCTTCCAGATTCTCCGTCTCAATATCTTCAACTTCCACCAGCTGATCCACTGCAACTAGATTTTGATCTGGTTCTGGGAGATTACCCATGGTAGAGGCAGTACTATTATTTTGGGTTAGGCATGTATCTGTTTGAAGGCTATGACTTTGACCAAGAAGTAGAGAATTACTATTCATTACATCATTTTCTACCGAATCCAGAAGTCTTGATGGACTGGAAGAGGGGTGGTTATTTACTGATACCAAAGCTGGTGATCCATCAGGAGAGGTAAATCGTGGTTGTAACTGCAAACCCTTTTAAATAGAAAAAATTTATATCAAAATATTTGGATTTATAATGTATAATATTTTCATATGATACTACTCTTTTGACAAAAAACTGACACAGATAAAATATAAGTGAATAGTTGCTAATAAATATTAAGAGGACAGAAACAAGAACCAAGAGAAAAATAATATAACTAAATTTGACTGCATGCATAGTTCACTTCAAACTTTTTCAAAAAAGACTATTTGAATTATCATCTTAATACAAAGAAGTCAAGAAATTAATAATGAAGAAATATCTGATCATTATAATGCTATAACAGTTTTCTAAAATCACTAGAAGAAGAGACATGGAGAAAAAAGAGCCCCAAATTTGGCTATCTTACCTGTAATTGTGTAAATATTTTGGGCTGAAATGAGGAAAGTGAGGAGAGTAAGTGGGTTGGTTCTGGAGACAAAGAAGACCCAGCCTGATTTGCTTCCACTTTGGTGGTAACTGATTCTCCTGGTGAATTTCCTAAATTATATAAAATACAAACTATTAAAACAAAAATTTTTTATTGCTTCTAGGATTCTATGCTTTATTACAACCCTTTCTATCAGAAGTGAATAGCAAACAAGATCAAAGATTTGCAAAAGACTTCAAGAAATCATTATTATCAGAAAAAGAAAGAAAAATAAAGTCAGCTAGCCCATTATTTCCAGAACCAGGCAGATAGATCATCAGAATCTCTAAGGAAAATTTAGAAAGTATATATTCCTAGTATTATGGTATAGTATAATGTGGACCCCAAAAGCTCCTGTGTGAGACAATGCAAGAAAATTTAGAGGTATAATGATTGGGTTATGAGAGCCTTAAACTAATCAGTACATTATAATGTACTGGGTACATTATACTGGGTAATATTATTACTGGGTAATAACCAAAGACTGGTAGGGTATAGCTAGAGGAGGAAGGTCTATGGAGGACATGCCTTTGGGGTTTATATTTTGTCCCTTTTGAGTGGAGCTCTCTCTGCTACTGATTGCCCTGTTCTGAGCTGCTTTCCTCCTCCACACTCTTACACCTCATCTCAGACCCAGAGCAACCAAGCTGGCTATCTATAGATTGAGATTTCTGAAATATTGAGTGCCAAATAAATTTTTCCCCCTCTAAAATTGTCTTAGGTCTTTTGGTCACAGCTATGAAAAAACTGTCAAAAATGCCTAGGTTCAATCTCCATTTATTTTTCTAGTGGTGGGGTTTGAACACAGGGCCTTACACCCCTAGACCTTAACCTTCATAAATTTCATTTCAGTAGATCTGATCTGGGATCTAGAAATATATTTTTTCCTGGAAAGACTCTGCATCTGGAACTCTAATATAGTCCATTCTTCACACTATAATGCTAGTCTACACCCTAAGTTTTCTAGATATGTAAAGCCTATTGAGATTCTCAATTACAAGGACCAAACTTAATTCATCTTCTGTAGTCCTAAAACTTAGGACAATGCCTGGCACAAATAGGTCCTCAATAATAATACTATTAAATTTCTTAATCCATAACTCATTTTGGGATAAATGAATAAAAGTAAAAACTTGTCTTATTAGTTTTAAAAGTAATTGTCCTTATGGAATTTGAGTCATTCTCATTTCTTTCATTCATTCATTCATTCATTCATTTATATGCTGGGATTGAATTCAGGGCCTGGTACATGTAGGTAAGCACTCTATCAATGAGCTGCAGCCCTAGCCCTTTAATGTAGCTCTTATTATGTTAACTCAAATATATTAATGTCCTTAATATCAAAAAACAATTTTACACCTGTAACCTCAGGTACCAGGAAGCTGAGGCAGGCAGATAGCAAGTATGAGGTCAGCCTGTGCAACTTACCAAAACCCTGTCTCAACAAACAAATGGAAATAACAATAATAAAAACCCTACAATTTTAGGGCTTCCATAATAGATTTTATTTTTCTTGGTGATACTGGGGATTAAATCCAGGGGTACTTTATCACTGGGCTACATCCTAGCCCTATTTATTTTTTGAGAGAGGGCCTTGAACTTTGATCCTCCTGCCTTAGCCTCCTGATTCTTTATGATTATGGATGTGCATTGCCAGACCCATCTAGAACTGAGAAATTTAAAAACTGGTCCTTGTGTCAGATAAGGATGGACTTTTAAGCCAGATTAAGTTCTGGCTTTTCTGGATTACCATCAACATATTATAAAACTCAGTTTGTAAATTTCAGTTTCCTCATCTACAGAATCAGTGTAATCAATCCTTCTTCAGAGGAATCTTCAGTTCTCTCATATTTCTTGGCTTCTTCATTTCTAAAGTCCTTTTACTTGACTCTGTTACAGCTGCCCATTAGTATGATACTACTCTACCTCTACTAGTACCTCTAGAATATTCTAGACTATTCTACCTTTAAAATCTCATATTTAAACATTCCATTCTCTGAACAATATCTTAATTCTTCCAGGCATTTTACACAAGTACTTTGCTACAATAATTCTTCACCCTCATGTGACTGTAGTCAACTGATCCCTGAATTTTCTTCAGATCCATTACTTTTCCTTAATAAGATTCTTTCCCCATCCGGCTTAGATTCCATGGTCTATAATTTTAGTTTCTCTTACAAGTATCATAAACTCCTTTGCCTTTGGTTATATTCTGCTGCTGAAACTCAACTCTGAACGAAAAGTCAGTGCCACTGAAAAAAACCTCACTACCAGTGCTGATACCAACCTCAACTAGAACTTCACCTAGAATGTTCAGCAATTCTTTTACTCTATTCAGAATAATTTCTTATCTCCATGTCCCTCAAATTCATACCACCCTTCCTAAGATCTTTCCTAATTCTTACCCTCACTTGTACTTAAAAAGAGAAGCCAAAAGAGAGAAATCTCAACTTCCCATTCTACCACTTTTACTATGTCTGCAAGTCTCTATTATCTTAAAAACACCTTCTCTCAACCCATACTCTCTTTATAGACAATTCTTGAAAAAGTGGTTCACATTATCTCTACTCCTTCACTTATCTTCCATTCATTCTTCAATAACTCTAATATGGCTTCCTCCTAATCCACTCTATTGAAATGGCTTTGATACTCAAGTTTCTAAATCTGATACCTTTTCCTCTCCCTTTCCTTCACCAATACTCTATTCTTCTGCCTAAGCTCAGTAAATCCTATCATTAGTCAACTGCTCAAAGTACAAATTCAGAAGTCATCTTAGATCATTCCAACTCTTTTGTCCCCTATCCCCAATTATTCAATCAATAACCATGGTCTTTAAATTCTACTTTTAAAATAACTCTCCAATTTGTTTCCTCCGAGTATATATACAACCAGCTGCAGTCTATACATTTTACTACACATTTTCATCAGTTTAGTAAAATGGCCTTCTAAATCTGTTTTGCTTATATAGTTTTAACTCTAAGCACTGTCTATGCTAAACCCACACCAGCCTTCTTAAATGTGTTTCTGAAATGTGACAAAGCTCTTCTTGCTTGGTTTTCACAAATGTAATTCCTTTGATTGGCAAACTTCTAGTCATTCTTCAGTTCTTAAAAGTGACACTTTTAAGTGTCAATCCCCAACTTTTTGTTCTGTCTATATCACTAGTCTAGTCCCACATAATTTTGCACAATTCTTCCATGGTACTTTTCAAAACAGTAATTAATTAGAATATACTTGTTTAATGTTCTTTTTCTCTTGCTAAACTTTAAGTTTCATAAAGTAGAAAACTTACCCAATATTTTTTATGTCTAGCATTTAGCACAATGACTTAAATATATATAGAATAAATGAATAATGCTAAAAAATTTCAAAGCCATTCTGTAGGCAAAGATTAATAAGTAAAAGAATAAAAAACACTATACTATATATGGTTATTCATTAATTGATTCTAAAGCATTTATTTAGGTACTAACTGTTTAGCAGGCATTATTCCTAGGCAATAGTTATGTTAATTTTAATAAAATATAATCCTTCTCTCTGAAAGGCTCAAATTACAAGAATATAATTATGTAAACAATAGCTTTCTATGTTAAATGCAGAGGTAAATATAAAAAAGAATGAGTAGTTCCCTGAAGGTGAAGTTAAGGAAGCACTTAAAACTGGAGATTGTTATTTGAGTAATAAAGGGAGTTGGCCATGCAGAAGATAGAACACATGCAAAAAAGGGTTGAAATAGGTTTAGACTACTGAAAGACAAAAGGAATAAGAACATATGAGAAAAAGCAAAACATTCAAAATAAACAATAGTTCCAAGATCGAGGTATCTTATGGTTATTACTATTGGAATTATATAGCATTATAGTTTACTATGCTGGTAATCAGCCTTAATTTTCAGTCATAAAGAAGTATAAATGTTAGGGGTGGAGTTGTAGCTCAGTGGTAAAGCACTTGCCTAGCATGTGTGAGGTACTGGGTTCAATCCCCAGCACCACATAAACAAATAAACAAATAAAACAGAGGTCCATCAACAACAACAAAAAAAAAAAATTAAAAAAAAGAAGCCTAAGTGTTAAATATCAGAGAAATTTAAATAGCCAGAAATATTTTGAAAAATCTCACAGTTGCTTTTTGCTCTTTTGGGTAATGATTTCCTTATCTATAAAATTTGATCATATAATATTTTAAGTTTCTTCCAGTTTTTACATCATTTAATTTTATATTTTAAAGGCATTCAAGATAACATACCTTCTGCAAATGTAACTGTCACAGTCTCTCTGAGAATATTCCCACTATCTGTAGTCCACTGAAGCTGAAATAGGAATATTTATTTAAATGAAAATAAAGCAGTAATAATGAAAAAAACTTAAATCATTCATACAACTGTCATATTTTATTGTCAAACTATATTTGTGTTTTATTCTATTACTCTCTCTACTTGTTCATATTCTCAAAGCACAAGTATACTTTACTATACAAATATATTAGGTTCCCGAGTTTGGACAGCAATTATTTGTATAGAAAATCTGTTTTATTTCTTGAGTTTTGGAAAGGAAAATTGAAAGTATGGATAGCAAGAAAATAGCAGTTCTTGGGGCTAGGATTGTGGCTCAGTGGTAGAGTGATCACCTCGCATGTGTGAGGCCCTGGGATTGATCCTCATGAACCACATAAAAAATAAATAAATAAAATAAAGATTTTTAAAAAAAATAGCAGTTCTAGCTTTAAAACATTCTGACTATTGGGCTGGGGTTGTAGCTCTGTGGTAGAGCATGTGTGAGGCACTGGATTCGATTCTCAGCACTACATATAAATAAATTAATAAATAAAGTAAAAGTCCATCAATAATTAAAAAAAATTCTGAATATGTTCAGTTGCTGAATTTGGAAAGTTAGGAGAACAAAGGATGCCACTCAAATTTTAATGCCATAGTCACTGCCTGCAATGTAATTAGTAGTTTTTAGGTAATTGTAGTAAAATTTTCTTGGAAATGACTAGTATTTGGGGAAAATACAGTTTTAAACTATGAAGTACAATTGATATTCATATTTGGCATATGGAACTAACATTTATCACTTTATGCATTCAAGTCTGAACTATTTAATTTTGCCCTTTTTTTTTTAAAAAAAATGGGGGCACCAACTGTGGTTTTGTACACCTGCAGTCCCAGCACTGGGAGGCTGAGGTAGAAGGATCATTGCAGCTTAGGAGTTCTAGACCAGCTAGGGTAAATTTAGTGAGACTTGTCTCAAAATAAATAAATTAATAAATACAAAATGGGGGAGAATGTACTCAATAAAAGCCTACTAAATAGGTATAAAATAATTTCCATAGAGAAAAAAATATTGATTTTAAAGTGAAGATTACTATTTTTAGTATACTCAGATTTGGAAATCTACTGTTTCTTCTCTTTGTGACAATAATTTAAACAAAATTGCAGTTACCACCTGATAATTTATGGTTTACATTTTAAGAAAAAAAAGTCACTACTGTTTCCCAAGTCATAGTTATTCAGATGGTCTAATAGTAGCCATTTTTATTAGGACAAATACTAGAGAAACTGAGAAAGATTCTCTCATAAAACAAAGAATTGTGGTTGTGATCATACCGTTGCTGGAATAATCTCTGAGTTATATACCATATCTCCATTTCTCAAGGATTTCTGTACCTCATGGATGTGATTTTTTATATCATTTACAGTTGGAAAAAAAGATAAATTATGTCTTTCAGGTACCTCATCAGGTTTGAACAGTTCTCTTTCCACAAATTTCCTGTGGAGAATATAAAATAGAACAAGAATATAAACTATTTAGTAATATACTTGTAGATCAAAAGAGAAAAGTTCTCTTTTAGCATAAATTTCTGTAAAGTATAATTCAAAGTTCTATAACCATTTATATTTTCCTACTTTAAATTTTTCCATACATTAAATCATAAAATTCATGCAAGTTAAATTTTCATTGGTTAAATACCTATACACATCAGAGTGAGCTTTAACAATTTTATAAATTTAATTTAAAGGAACCATTATTTTCAAATTAAGTTTAATATTTTTAAATGCTTACTGTGTCAGGCACAGTATTAACCAAGCATTTCCTTTAACTTTTACTATAATCCTATGTCATAGGTACAGTTTAATTCCCACTTCACAGATGAGGGAACTGAAGAATGCAGAAGTTAAATAATTTGCCCAAAGTGATGCCCCTACCTAGTAAGTAAAAGAGCTTGGGCCAAATCCAAATTATATGCATAAAGATCATGTTATACTGCTTTCAAAGGCATCAACTAATATATGAAGTATCATGTGCTCAAATTTTACAAGTAGACAAAAGAGAAGATGGAAATGGAAGGCAACATTGCTATGTAATTATATAAAAAATAAGTACACAAAAAAATCATAATACACAAAAAAAATCATACATATGCTTTGAGCATTATATGCAATGGGCCAAACTGCAGGGTTGTATTATCTGACTGTTCTTTTTTTAAAAATGTTTTTAGTTGTTGATGGACACAATGCATTTATTTTGTTTATTTTTATGTGGTGCTGAGGATCAAACCTAGTGCCTTATACTTACTAGGCAAGCACTCTATCACTGAGCTACAACCCTGGCCCTGTTTCAAATGTTCTTTATTTTGTGTGTGTATGTACCAGGGATTGAACTCAAGGACACTCAATCACATCCCTAGCCCTACTTTGTATTTTATTTAGAGACAGGGTCTCACTGAGTTGCTTAGTGCCTTGCTTTTGCTGAGACTGGCTTTGAACTCATGATCCTAAGCCTACTGAGTCACTGAGATTATAACCGTGTACCGTGGTGCCTGGTTATTCTACTGTTCTTAATGAACCTCATTTCAAATAGTCTGAAATACTATTGCCTAGGTTTGGTAAACAGTGGGTGATTTTACCAAATTTGGCTTTGTTCCAAAGATTCCTATATTCAAGATAATAACTAAGTAAATTAAAATGTTCACTATAATAACAGTATTAACATAATAATAATTATCAATAAAATTAGGCCAGAGTATCAATAAAGTAGCAATAAAATTAGACCAGAGTACTACAAATAAAATTTCATTAGCTAAAGAACTATCCAAATTTTTTATTATAATAAGATATAACTGCATTTTAAATAGTTTGAAATAAATATCCTGGCCTAGGATTTAAAATCTTTGGTTCTACAAAAGTTTTTTTTTCTAAATATATAATTCAATTCATGTATCATTTAAAAATAGTCCAATCTGCCCAATATGAAGTATCTCAAAAGTTATAAAGAATTATAATAAGCCATATTAACTATGGCTTGAAAACAATGGAAAATTATAAGTTCCTAATTAAGAGTATTTTAATAAGCTAATAAGCTCTATTACTTATTTACTCAAATAGCAGATATCCTTGAAAATATCTGTAATCTGAAGTATATTATTTAAAACAACAAGCAAAAATGAAAAATGTCAAAAGAACAATTTGCATCTACTATACCTTAGCTGTTTCCTTACTGCATATACTTGTTCTATTCCCTGTGATACTAATTCTTGAATTTTATGGGCTACTTGAGGATGCAGACGTGATGGCAATGCACAATTCTCATCTCTAACTGTAGTTTCCTCTTCTTCAAGAGAAGACACAGGAAAAGGGGAAGGTGACAAAGGGAGGCAGGAAGTCTCTAATTCGTGATACTGATGAGCTTGCTGTGTAGGTAACTGTACATACCACCTGACAAGAAAGTATTTAAATTATTAAATTTAAATTTTAAAATTATTTAATATTATTAGATAAATGCAGGAATCATAATTAGGTTAATCATTATGGTTTAGATATGGTGTCCCCCAAAAGTTCATGTGTGAGACAGTGCAAGGTTTGGATGAGAAATGATTGGGTTATAATCTTAACCTAATCAGTGAATTAATTCCTGGTAGGGATTAACTGTGTGGTAATTGAAGTGGCAGGGTGTAGCTGGAGGAGGTAGGAACTGGGGCATATGTTTGGAATATATAATTTGTCTGGAGAGTGGAGTCAGTCTCTGTGCTTACTGATCATGATGTGAGCTGTTTCCCTCTGCTACACTATCCTGCCATGATGTTCAGCCTCATTGTGAGCCCCAAAGAATGGAGCCGGCCTTCTATGGACTAAGACCTCTGAAACCATGAGCCTTCAAATAAACTTTTCCTCTCCTAAAATTGTTGGGTCCTTTAGTCATAGAAGCAAAAAAGCTGGCTAAAACATTCACCAAGAAGAAAACAAAAACTCATCAAGAGAAGGAATACTCTTTTAAGAAAAATTATATATGATTATGCCATAATGAATAAAGTTATTTTGGGGAGACTGGGGGTTGAACCCACGGGCACTTTACCACTGAGTTATATCCCCAACCCTTTTAAAAAAAGATTTGATTTTAAACGGTCTCACAAAGTGCTTAGGGCCTTGAAATTGCTGAGGTTGGCCTTCAACTTGCCATCCGCCTGCTTTAGTCTCCTGAATCACTGGAATTATAGGCATGTGTCACTGTGCTTGTCTTATATTGAATATAATTTAAAATGAATTCTGCTTAATAAGATTACCTTTAAACCCAATTAAATAAAAATCTTTATAAATCTTTATAGACTTTCACTATGGCAGGATGATGCATGGATTTAAAAAATACACGAAAAGGATATTATAAATTTTAAAATTTTTTTTAGATGTTGATGAACCTTTATTTTATTCATTTACTTATATGCGGTACTGAGAATCGAACCCAGTGCCTTACACATGCGAGGCAAGCACTCTACCACTGAGCCACAACCCCAGCCTATAAATTTCATATTAAGCAAATTTTACTCCCAAATACAGAGACAACATTGTAAGTCATCAGTCTTTAAACTATGTGTTTTCCCATTTATCAAACATTTGTTCCATATTACATTTCTGTCATTTCCCTACCACCCATCAATCAACCAGAGTGGATTTTAATTCAGAGTCTATCAAGACTGAACTGTATGGGAAGATCTTTCCCCACAGGAGCTTAATATACTGTGGCTACAACATTCCCAGCTCCTCCTGCTCCATGAGCAAGAAAATGAACTAAAAGGTGAATATAAGTCTACTGAACATCAGTATAAAAATAGTTACTAGGAAATAAACTGATCTGGTAGGATACTGTTTTAATAAATATTTTGGCACAAAATTCTTATATTCTGATATTCAATAAAATGAAGTCTACTTTAAGTTACATACAATGTTCTCCAACTTGAAGGATCTAACTAACTCAATTCACTTCCATACACCTAAAAGTTTTTATTAAAGATCACACAAGGGTTTAGAAGTGTAGCTCAGCAATAGAGCACCTGCCTAGCATGCATGAGGCATTGGGTTTGATCTCTAGCATTGCAGGAAGGAAAAAAAGAAAAACTAAGGTCACGCAAAAACTATTTTCCCTACACTTGATCTCATAATGTGTTACCTACATTGACACAAAGGAAAGTAAGCAAGAAAGCTATTATTTCTTCCTAATTAAAATCTGAAGGATAAAATAGAATTTCTATATTTAGGGCTTAGAATTCATTTCTGGCTGCCAGAGTAATCAAAGATGGGTGGCTACATTGGTTACAAATTCTACTCTTAATAAGTATCTGAAACAAAATACTAAATATATAATAAAACATATTACTAAATATGTATTTGTTACTTTTATGAGGGGCGTTACATATGGGTGTATGGTATAATTCTTTGGTTCAAATTATCTACAATATTACAAAACTCTACAAATTATGCAAGGAAAATGAGATGTCTATCTTATAAAACAATTTCTTTTTATTTATTTTTTTTCTTTTCTTTTTTCTTGCAGTGTTATGGATCACACCTTAGGCCTTGTGCATTCTAAGTAAGTGCACTACCACTGAGCTATACCCCTGGCCCTAAAACCATTTCTCAGTGAAATAATTGAAAAACAATATAATGTATCTTACAAAAGAATTATTGGAAATGGAGCTAATTAATTAGTAAATAAAAGAATTATATAAATGTTATACCTAAGAACACCACCAGCATCTACCAAGTTCTTCTTTAGCATATTAAAAGCTTTCTCCTGTTCCATTCTGATTATTTTCTTGTCAATTTTGGGGTCTGTAGGTACTCTATATTCAGGAAACTTCTGTACCTTTTTAATGTAAATCCTTTATTTAAGATAAAGAAAAATCAGTTTCATTATATTATAATCACAAGAAAATCTAACTTATCAACCAATGTTTAAACATTTAAATTTAGAGAAAGTTCAATTTATCTAGAAAGTATCCAGAGGCTTATAAAAGATAGGCCATGTTTTAAGTGCATGATACTTAGTAAATTAACAATAATTAAGACTTGAATAAAAATAACCAAGTATTTTTAGGTTTTTTTTTTTTTTTTTTTTTTTATTTGCCTCTTCTCATTCTCCTGGAAGCCATAATTACCTTATGCCTGGACTGCTTTAATGGCCTTCTTGTAGACTGCTGTTTCTCCAGTTTTCATTATTTATATTCACTTGATACATCAGTACCTCAATAATTCTTCACATTTGTATTCCTCTATTGAAGAATCTGCCTGTTTTTTAATCAAGTATAAATTTCTTGGCAACACTGAAGGCATTCTGAATAATTCTACTTTATTTACCTAATCTTACAATTACTTCAAGTATGAAATTTCTTGTCCCGTGAAGTTCATCTTCTCCATGTCCTGTCCTCCTCTGATATGGTATATGCAATTGTCCCATATCTTTATTTATATGGTTCTCATAGACTGCAATATCTTCCCTCTAACTTTCTAACCAAATTCAATCTAAATTTCAGCATCCAGGTTAGAATGCACTTTCTTTCCTGCTATGAGTTTGCATGAATAGATTGCTTTTCTGAGAACCTACAACAGGTAGCTAACCACACATTTCATATTATCTTGTTCTCTCTCTCTTTTTTAAGCTGCTTAATCTTTATATGTTGTAGGTGGACACAATACCTTTATTTTATTTTTATGTATGCTGAGGGTCGAACTCAGTGTCTCTCAAATGCTAGGCGAGCACTTTACCACTGAGCTATAATCCCAGCCCCTATCATGTTTTCTTAACAATTTGTTTCCTGATCCACCCCAATAATACTTTCGGTTGTGTGGGATTAAGTAAAATCTATTCATCTTGAATTTCCTCCTTCTTCTGACACCCCAAATAGTTTCTGGGCACAGTACCCAGAAGTACCCTAAAAGTACTTAGAGAATGATGGAGAATAAAATTAGTTATTTACATCTAGAGGTTTTCTTCCCAGTTAAACCTTAAGTTTTTGAATTGCTTATATTTAAAATGCATTTTTTATCTTATAGTCATGCTTGATTATTCCATAAAGTTAACATGAAATTAAATATGAAATGCCTCTAAATGGTGTTTTAAAACTTCTTGAAAATGCTGAAGTTTGTAATATAAGATGTTATGCTAATAATGTTTCAAAGATCAACTAAGGCCAACCATTATATATTATCATTTGTCTTATTCTGTTTTAGTCACAGAGTCTTGCTATGTTGCCCAGGCTGACCTAGAACTCCTGGGCTCCAATAATCCTCCCACTTCAATCTCCCAAGTAGTCGGGACTACAGGCATATGCCACTATACATATTATCATTTAAATTTTACTTTGCTAGTAATTTTAAATACTTATAATATCTAAAAGAAAAATATTAGTTAAAATCTTTCATTGCTTCATATTTTTCATTCTCACCTAGAGTAATGACTACCTTGTATCCATGTTCTATCTAAAACTTACAATGTTAATTTCATACATTACTGGTATGAATGTATTAGTAAAATCTCTTTAAAAAACAATTTTGCAATACTTGTCAACATTTTAAAATGATATAACTTTGTTCCAGTAATTTCATTTCTAGGAATTTATCTTACTGATAAGCATGTACAAGTACAAAAATATGTATGATGTTGTTAACTACAGATTTGTATGCAACAATAAAGAATATCTTTCATAGCATATGTCCATCATTAGAGAATTAATTAAATAATGCACCCACAAATGAAAATATTACATAGCATTAAAAAGAAAGAATATTTTTTGTACATGTCATTACATTCACAGTGGTATGTAGCACAATATCTGTGCACTAGATATAACTATAGGCTTTCAGATTGTAAATAAATTAATGTGAATTCATAGTAGTAAAGAAGATATACTATCACCCAACTTTAAGGGAAGAAAATATTTATGGGGATAAAAGGTGAGATACACACAGAATACCTTTGTAAGATGACTTTACAAACTGGCCTTAAAGAGGGACACAGAGCAGAAGTGAGAGAGAACTTCGGATTCACTGTATACCTTTTGGCCTTGTTTAATTTTAATAAATATCCCCATATTTTCAATTAAAAAATAAGGACTTAATGAAAAATAAAAGAAAATTAAGCTTACCTGGCTGGACAAGTAGCTTTGTAGAGCTGACATGACCTGCTTTCCTGCTCACTGATTTTTTTTAACTGGAAACCTTTCCTTCTTGGCCCGTACTGACACTCCATTACCACAGCTCTACTCCCTGTAGGCCAAATCCAACTATTGATATTAATTCAAGTGTCTACTCTATACACTAGATTAAAAATAATTAGGTAAAGACAATGTTAAAATCTATATTTTTAATTATACAAATTAATGGAAAGAAAACATTAGTATGTTTTATCAAGATGTACAAACACAAATTTAAAAGTTTATTATTATAGGGCTGGGGCTGCAGCTCAGTGGTAGAGAGCTTGCCTAACATGTGTGAGGCACTGGCTTCAATTCTCATCACCATATAAACAAAATAAAGGTCCATCAACAACTAAAACAAAAATTTTTAAAAAAGTTTATTATAGGGCTGGGGATGTGGCTCAAGCGATAGCGCGCTCGACTGGCATGCGTGCGGCCCAGGTTTGATCCTCAGCACCACATACAAACAAAGATGTTGTGTCTGCCGAAAACTAAAAAATAAACATTAAAAAAATTCTCTCTAAAAAAAAAAAAAAAGTTTATTATAAAATTTAGCAAATATCCGTAATTACGGTAAGGAAAATTGGCAAACATCACATTTACTGAATGTCTACTGATAACTTAGACACATGATTTTTAGTAATAATAAAATGAACCACTTTATGTAAATAGAAATTAGCAAACGCTAGATTTGGTTAATAATGATATCGCTTAAAATTTTTATTTCCTTTTATAACTATTTATTTTCTTCTTTTTATTTGGCTATTAGAATCCTATAGTAAGCAGCCTCTAAGATGGCCCCAAGGATTCCTGCCTCCTAGGATTCATTGCCTTGTGTAATTCACCCACTCTACCCAGCGTGGACTGGACTTATCAACTTACTTCTAGAGAACGTGGCAGAAGGGGCAGGGTGTTATTTTTTTTTAAAGTATTTATTTTTTAGTTGTAGTTGCACACAATACCTTTATTTTATTTATTTATCATTACATAGTGCTGAGGATCGAACCCAGAGCCCCACACGCCCTAGGCAAGTGCTCTACTGATGAGCCACAACCCCAGCCCCAGTATGTTATTTTTGATATTAAGTTAAAAGACCCTAACTTCATGAGGCAGTACCATCTTGCTAAGTTGCTCTTGGATTCGTGACCCTTAGAAACTGAGATAATGTTTGTAGTTTTCAGGCACCAAGTTTGGGATAATTTGTTACATAGCTATAATACAAATAAATATAAATGAAAACTATATAGCTTAAGAGTTTAAGTTGAATATCCTACTCTACTATAGGATATAGCAGACTTTCAAAATATAAAATAAAAAAGTCAACAAAAATACTGATAAAGCTGATGTCAAATTTAAATCTTATTACTAATAATACTGTTGATTTGCGGGAGTTTTGGAAATAAAGTTTGTTCCTGCTTGAGTGGCTCGTGATTTTGTGCCCAGCCAGACTGCGGCAAGGCAGGAAAAAAAAAATAAGAAAAAAGAAAAAATAAGAAACACTAGTCTTAAATGAGTGCAGTTTTATCTACAGACCTCACCATAAACATTTGCTTTTTGACAGAGTCCTTTGATCTTTGGAGGTACACGTTTCAACCAACATAATATATAAATAAAAGTAGAAGGAGACGGAAGATGGCGGCGAATAGAGTGCATCACCCCCGTGTACCGCGTCACTGCGCAGGTGAATAACGAGTTAGAACAGCCAAAAGCTATCTTGTTAGGAATTTACACCAAAATTGGGGTGCACCAAAACCTAGAGGAAGGATTTCCACTGCCCGAGGATCGGTTACTGGGTCTCAATCGGGAGTGAACCGTGCACCTGGAGATTCAGCCTGTTTGATCGGCGGTCCGCCCCGCTGCTAGAGACTGCAGCGCGCCGGGAAACGGCGTGCCAGCAACGCAGAGGAACAGTGCTGCAGATTCTGTGGGGTCCTGCTGGCTGTGCCCTCACTGTGCTCCGGGCTGAGTTCTGGGTTTGAGACGGGGAAGGAAATGGTCCAGTTCTGTCCTCCACACCGGACAGCCCACCCAGGAAGCCAGCAGCCACTATCTTGGAGAGCTGACATCACAATCGCCAGTTTTTGACAGATTGCAGCACGTTTAGCGATAGAACAGGTGTGTGGCATTTAGCACATCTCCAATACAGCGGGGAAATCGCATAAAATCTTTCTCCGGCTTTCCGGGGCGTGATTAACAGAGTGACCGTGAATAGAGGCATGGGGAAAGGTAAAGGCACCTGACCTCCAACTCCCTCCTCCTACCAGCAGCGAAAACGAAACCTGTCTCGCCAGCTCTCGGAGGAGGGGCTAGCGGAGGGAATCAAAACAATAGGGGCCAGTTCCGGAATAGCCGCGCTCCACATCCAGGAAACTGCAGGCCCAGAGTGTAGCTTGAACTGCCAAGACGTGTCACACTGGGAAAGGCCTGGCTGGCAGGAGAAGCTAGGTGACTAGAGATAGGAATAAACCTAAGCTAACAGGTTTTGAGAGACACGGGGGGGGGGGGGGGGGGGGGGGGGGGGAGGCCCGGAAGGCACAGCACCACCTACTGGAAGCGAAGAAAATAGAAGCCTAACAGTGCCTTTTTTTTTTCTTTTTTTAATTGTTTAAATTTTTAAATTGTAATTTTTATTTTACTGCATTTTATTATTTTTTTTATCATTTCTTTTTCTTTTCTATTCTTTTCTCTTTCTTTCTTCTCTCCCTCTCTTTTTCTTGGTTTGCTTCCTTACCTTTTCCCCATCTTTCCTCTTAAGCATGACCACCCAGATTACGTACAATTTACTAAATGCAAATAGATGAATACTACGAATCGGTCTATAGTCCGCCTAAGCCCTTAACTACCCCCAAGTACTCCTGTCTATTCTCTTGTTAATATCCGCCTGCATTTGAGCAACCCCCCAAAGAAGCTAACATATACTAACCTCCATACCATCAAATCGCCCGACCTCAACATAAAATCCTAAGTTCAAACCTCAATTCTCTATATGCCATCAAAATCTGTAGGCCTTTAATGAAACTAATGAATTTCCCTTAAATCACAATTAAATCCAACATCTCTAAACATTGTCTCCCAACACAAAGGAGAGATATTGGAACTATAAAAACCAAAAAAATTTAAAGGAGAACACAGCACTCTGTTTAAACAGAGTTGGAAAGTAACGTGAGCACCATGAAAAAAAAAAGGGAAAAAAGGATTACAAACAATGCAGGACAACTTAAATTCACAGGAGAACCTAGAGGCATCAGAAAAATGGACAGAGAAAGAACTCAAGGCATACCTAACTCAGATGGAACGGAATTTTAGAGAAGTCATTAGAGAGCAAGTCCAAAAAATGAAAGTATACTTTGAAAACGAATTACATAATCAAATTCAAATGGTAAAGAATGAGCTCTACCAGGAGATAGAGATTTAAAAAAATAAATCAAACAGTAATCCTAGAAATGCAGGAAACCATAAACCAAATTGAAAACTCAAACGAGAATATCACAAATAGACTAGATCAAATAGAAGTCAGAACATCAGATAATGAAGACAAAGTTCATCAACTTGAAAAGAATATAGTCAACACAGAAAGGATCCTAAGAAATCACAAGCAATCCATCCAAGAGATACGGGATGTCATAAAAAAACCAAACTTGAGAGTCACTGGGAGACCATTTTTTCAATCTTTTTGTAGGCTTCTGTCCTGGATCCAGAGCCCAGGTGTCTGTGCTATGCAGAAGCTGAAAACAAACCACAGGGAGAAATCTGAGAACCCTGAAAGCCAGGAAATGGTACTGTTAACATTCAGGGATATAGCCACTGATTTTACTGAAGAGGAGTGGGAATGCCTTCAGCCTGCTCAGAAAAACTTATATAAAGATGTAATGTTAGAGAACTATAGAAACTTTGCCTTCCTTGCCATGACTCCTCAAGATACTCAAGAATATTCAACAGAAAAGGGCAT